CTATTGCCTTTACTACTCTAGAATCTTTCATAATAATTCTATGCTACTGTACTAATGTGGCAGGACAACTTGAATCGATGCACATGTGTCAGATTCTACAATGTACATGACTGATTAACTATTTATCAACTGATATGACCGATTTCATAGTACCACCAATTTACGATGAACATAAAGAATATCAAAAGCTATCACCTAGTTTATGACCACAAAGAAATTAAATTTACAGTTGTGGAAATTTTACAGAATGTTGAATATCATTTCCATTGTAGTAAAAGTCTCCACAGCACGTATTTACTACTCGAACATGAATCAAACCCAAGACCTTGAGGTCTTTCATTGAATATTTGGTGATTCGAACCACTAGGTCAACAGAAAACCCTGAACTTAGTTTACGTACTAGTTGTTATATTTTCAATAAGATATATTTGTTAATTCGAATTAACTGTTACTGTTTCTCATAGGACTCAAATGACTCAATAGTAACATATGATTTGACTTTGACAAACGAAATGTTTATCTAATTAAACTAAATTGACGTTATCCTCAATCAATTTAATTTCAATCTACACTAAAACCTAAATAAATATGATATTTGATTACCCTTGACTGATCAATGAGTGTTAGAACAAATCATTCATGTAATCCTAGAAGCATGAAATAAAATGTCAAATATTGGAAAATTGTATCTTATCATGCAATACTTCACGTCAAATTACTCGCACATTTCATGATCACGCTATATAACAAAGTCATGCATTAAACTGGAAATATTTTCTGGAGAACATTTCTATTGCCACTTTGTCCTAATGTGGCAGTAATGTGTTGTCTCAGTCAGCTACAACGTAGGACCAGGCACATATATGCATCGGTACAAGTTGCCATACCGCATTAGCACAGCAAGATGAACACCGGATTCATAGAAGTAGTTAATTCAGAGGTGGTAATATATAAAAGGAAGACTGCATATAAGGATATAGTACATGAAGAAAGAGTTGGCTAGTAGAAAGAAAGATATGAAGTGATTTTAATATCACGGTTTAAGGGAAGAAAAATAGTGTATACATCTACGCCAGAGTTTCTAACCATTGGTTACGATAGTCGCGTATATCCCAACCAAGTAGTCTACATCTGTCGATATGGCTTAGACTAGAAGTTAGTAACTTTAAGCACTGATGCCATGTTTTGGTTTGTCTATCCCTAACTTTCTTTCAACCGTCTCCAACACTAAATTGTAAGAAGTAAAGATCATTGATTAACTTGTGAAATTTTTTTGCAATACCTTAATATAGCTACTCGTTTGTGTAGAGCAATGAGTTAGTATTGAACGCATTCGATATTCTACAATTAGGTGGATGTTTCATTCTTTAACTTCTAATCAAACAACAAGGGTCTTTCATTGAACCCCGAAGCCGATGAAAGTTCTGTTTAATGCGAACACCTAAAATTCTATTTAAGTAACTAATTTATCGTAGAACATTAAACTGTACCAAATGAGTTGCATATGTCAGATAGAATTCCAATCATTGAATATTTATGATGATGAACAGATCCCTCAGTCGTTAAGGCGTTCAATTTTCTAGGTTTAATTCTCAGGTCTGATACCCATTCTTCACCTAGTTAGATTTGATATATAGAATAGGTGCTACTAGCTCTCACACTCAAAACCAAATTCACAAACATTTGCTTATGATATTGGTTAATTTAACACTTAGATTATAAATTATAATTTAGTGTTGTAAGAGGTTTAAAGTGGAAATAATAGTTATCAATTGTTTTCTGTTTTTCAATTGTTGTTAAACTAAAATTAGTCCATGATGTATTAATTATAAATCTTTGGTTTCTGTTTGTACAGTATACTAATTACCTTCATACTTTAAACTAAACTAATTCAATATCATATGAGTCCTAGGCTTGTTTCATTGTTTTTCTTACTAGTAAAAAGTATTTTCCATTATTTATTAGATGATAAATAAAAAGTATTTCTCAAGGTCATGTTGAGGTTACTCTTAGCATGAAAATATAATAAATACTCACGTCAGTCAATATTGTTCTGTAGTTAAGTTTTTATTCTTTTTAAAACTATCAGTCAACATATTAGAAAAGAATATTTTGTAGACATTAATCCTATTGAATAAAGGTTTTTCATAGATGTGTAAGGTTCTCCTTTCCTTATGACGGACAAATAGAAAGCTTTTAACACTGAGTTCCTATATTTGAGATCGTTTCTATGTTAAGAGGGAAGTTCAAGGCAATAGTCGCAATCAGTTAGTCGTTGAATAAAAGGGCTGACTACTCAGAATCAGTCACAATGCTCCTCAGTTGCATTCATTCTTTATCATTCTCAATATCTGGAGTTTCAATATTCTTTCATACAATACATTTCCATTACACCTTATCGAACCATGCACATTACTTAATCTCTGTCACTATCATAAATACTCCAGTTATTTTGACTTGGTTGCTAATGGGAGCTGATAAATTGCGTTACCACACATATCACACTTCATTTTGCTTGTCATTGATTAATTGACTGATTTCTCCGCTGTTAACATATGTGTTTGTGCATGAAGAATACATAATTTACAAATATAAGTTTCAAATGACGTTAGGCTAAAAATACATATTTTTATTCATTTGTAATTAACGTGATTTAAAGTCTTTGGATTAAACGTCAAGTTACCAGATTCATCTATTGAACCTTGGTTGTCAAACTGTGGAACTAAGGCATATTGTGCTGTGCAGATAGCTCTGTTTCAATCCACAAGATGTCTATAATCGCTAGTGAGAGATTTTAGGTGATATAATTCAAAGTTAGTTGCCGTTGGTACACATACTACTCTGTTATTCAAGACAAATTTTTAAGGATATAAAACCTGTTAATGAGGCTGCGCGTCTTCGTTGACTGGAACGGTTGGACCATGTGTTACATTTGCTAACATGGAAACGCAATGTTGGAGCATTTTAAAAGAAATTTATCTACGGTCAATCCATAAAGTCGTTGACTGTTGATTTAACTCATGTTGATAACTGCAGACTAGATAGATTGGTTTGAGGCATTGCACGATATAGTTGGAAGTCGATCATATGAGCTCAGCTTAGTTTACCTTTTGTTTTCTCTTTGATTTTCATGTTTTGGAATTTTCCCCTTTTTTGGTTCCGCGTATTTATCTTGTCTACCACCAATGATACTATTCTTACAACAACTGCATAATTGGTTTTGATGTGATAACCTCTTCTGGGTGTGGTGATATGATGTAGTAGCTTGAGCTGATGTACATGTATGTCAGTTTTTAGGTTGTTTATGGGCTCTAATCATAATAATAACTGTTGTTATATAAACTATCTGTTTACCTAATAATCAATTTGTTTTATTTATTTGAGCAGATGTTTGTAATTAATATGTCCCATACTAGGACGAAACGGTCATCCAGTGCTTTCAGGTTTTCCATAGTGGTCTAGCTTAAATCTACTCATGAATTCAACTATTAATTAATATGTATTTATTATTTGTGTTATTATACGATGTGATTTGTTGAAATTGTTTTTTTATCTTCCTCTTCAAACTTATACAGGTACTAGTCCTTCATTTACTCAAAGACGTGCTTGACAGAACTCAGATCTTAATATTTTTCATCTTTATACAATATTATCTTGTTGATATGAACCATTTGTTTTCTATCTTGTAACTCGATAACAGTTACCAAAAAAACTTATGAAAAATTTTATGTAAAATTTCTTGCATTTTGTAATCTATTGATATTGTTTAATGTTAAATATCAATAAATCTGTTTGTTTTCTGATGATAGCTTTGATTTTTCTCTCTATTTATGTATTTAATTCGATGTATGCACTTAAAAAAAAGAAGAACGTATCGTTTGTTCGTGGTTGTGAAGCTTGAATTATCTTTGAGATCATAAATCCAAATGAGTTAGACACCCATAAAAAATCTGGTAGCACTGGATAGTTGTTTCGTTCTAGCATGGTGCTCCTCAGTAATGCATATCCACGTCTCTATCACCGAGGACTTTCGATCTCACACATAAGTACTTAACCTCTAGATCGCATCTAATGATTAAGCATTCATGCATGAGACAGGAGATTCTGAGTTCAGTCCTTGGTGGTGGGGGTCGTAGATCCGCATTGTTGAGGAGCTCCATGCTATGACGAAGCAGTTTTCGATGCTTGTTCAACTTTGATTGACTTGTGGTCCCAATAATATTCAGCACTTTTCTATAACGCTCCATGTAGGACTATTTTTGTCACTTTTATATTGTCTCAGAAAATCTGTGTATGATGGTTGTTGTTACTGATTTTGTCATTATGCGTGTATATGTGAGTATATTTATTTAGGTCAATGATTCAGACTTGTCTTGATTAATTTGGAAAGGTTTATCATCACGTTCTCAATTTTTTGGTTAATTTTCCTCTTCCTGTAAATCAGAAGAGTTTAGGTGACATATTGTTCACATAAACGGCCTCAGTAGTACAACTGCATTTATTTATGATTTTTCTGTAAATCATAAACGTGACAGTTCGTTCTGTTCCACCTATCAGTTCTTTTTTCCTTATTTTATGTATTTTTTGAGTTTTGTTAGGTTGATCGACCAAATTGTGCTACATGGCGACCAGCCAGCTATCACACACACTAAAATGCACCTCTGAGCGCATTTAAATACTTTAGTTTGACCAACTATGTATCATCTATCAAGCACACACATATATATATAGTTTATGGATAAATACATGAAACTTATTTTATTGACTTGGATATACATTTTATATTAAATTTTGATCTCCGTGTACAAAATATTAAGTGTATTCTCATCCTTGTTTCACCTTTTTCAACTTTGTACAAGGCAACCTCTCCAGTAGCAAAAGCTCCACATAGTGGTGCAATTAAAAAACACAATCAGAACACCAATAATAAACATGATGGATTTCGCTCAAAAACTGTTGTCGGTGCTCCTCCATTAGACTTACAGTTATTACGTCGACATATGTCTATCTCTCAGTCGCCTGTTGGAACACCAGTTACATTTTATTCAAAGGCAAAAATCTATTGGAGTCAAGTTCCAGCTACAGTTGACGGAATGTTATCAGGTTATACCTCGTTAAATGTCCCGGATATTGCAGATTCTGAGATATTTCTCGATGAATTCGGACCATCTACTACAGCGTACGCATTAGATTGTGGTGCTGGTATTGGGCGTGTTACTAAACAACTATTATTACCACGTTTCTCTATTGTCGATATGGTTGAATTGACACAATCATTTCTTAATCAAGCAGAAGAATATATTGGACCCGAAGATTTTCCTAGAGTTGGTGAACGCTTCTGTATTGGTTTACAAGTAAGTATTTTACAATTTTTCATTACTAATGAAGGTTTGAATTATCCGATTATTGATATTTAAAACTGAATTATGATTAGTCTTTGTTAGCATATGTTTATCCTTAGCGCATTGCTTCAATGTAGTCGTTTTTAAACATTATTTTCTAGAATAGATAGATAGCAGTGTAACTGTGAGTGTACACATTTCGCCGTATTTAAAACTCATCAACTGTATTTATCTGTATTCAAGTGTTGATGTTCACATTGGGTCTTCAACTGATGATATAAACATCATATTCGTAAAAAAATTGATGACTATCTAAACTCAGTAGTTTATTGGTTAACGTTTTAGCGTTTGAACCAACAAACACTAGATTCGAACTTTAGTATGAGTATCCACATTGGGGTGCCGCTACATCCAACTGACGAAATTAAAATGAGACGGAACGTGGATCTTGGATTCCACTAGTAAATGGAAACTTAACTTATTTTTGTGAAAACTATTGTGTGATTAGCGAAAGTCAAATATTTTAATCACAAATCATGTTGATATACTGTTTCATATCCAGTATCTATTTAAAAAGGTATTTTTTAAGGTTATGATTTTAATACCTTCCATACACAAAACATGTGTCCAGAAAAATATGTTCGTGAATAGCTTGTTGGATAACATTTCCCTTCATTGACTACAGTCAGTCAGCTACAACGTAGTACCAGGTACATAAATGCATCAATACGAATTGCCATATCGCATTAGCACAGCAAGATGAACACCGGATTCAAAGAAGTAGTTAATTCTGTGGTGGTAATATATAAAAGAAAGATTGCGTATAAGGGTACATAGTACAGGGAGAAAGAATTAGTTCGTAGAAAGAAAGATATGAAGCGATTTTAATCTCATAGTTTAAGGGAAGACAAAGAGTGTATACATCTACGCCAGTGATCAATTCTGAACCATGTCACCAAGAGTCTCCGACCATTGGTTACGATAGTCACGCGGACCACAACCGAGTAGTCTACATCTACCAACATAGCTTAGACTAGAAGTTAGTGACTTTATAGACTGATACCATGTTTTGGTTTATCTGTCCCTAACTTCCTTCCAACCATCCCTAACATCAGTTAGCATTGCATGTCGTGGTAATCGGTGTTCATGCATACGTAATACGTGGCCCAACCATCTCAGTCGATGAAGATTCACAACCTCATCAACTGATTTACCATCATTTCGTAATATCCTTCGTTTAACCTCACTATTACTTGTCCGATGATCCCAGCAGATGCGAGCAATATTTCTGAGGCATCTGTGGTCGAATACTAGTAGCTTACGAGTATCTTCTACTCTTAATGGCCATGTTTCGCAGCAGTAAACTAGGAGAGAACGAACTGCCGCGTAGTATACTCGTCCTTTTTTGGTTGACGGATATCTCGCCTTCGCCATAGGTGACGTAAGTTGGCAAAAGCCAATCCAGCTGGACCAGCTGTCCTTCCTCGTTTCAGATTAACTATAGCCTTTTCAACTTCAGCTAGAGTTGGAGGACCTACTTCAATGTTCCATTCACACTGTCTGGGAATGGAGGGTAGTTGTAGAGTAGCTGAAGGCCAACTGAACTGTTCTCTAAAATGTTCTGCCCATTGTTCTAAACGTCTGGACTGGGAGCAGATGAGAGTGTCGTATTTTTCCGAAATAGTCTGACATACACTTGACTTATAATTCCAGTTTTTTTTATTAGTCTGTAGAGCTGTCTTGTGTTCCTTATAGCCGTCGCCTTTTCCATCTCTTTTGCTTTCGTTGCCCACAACTACTCAAGGTCGTTCCTTAGACTTTTGGTTAACCTAGATCTGATTTGTTTACGCTCTTCATCATGTTCAGAACCTGATGGGATGAGTTTACGAGAATCCTTCAGTGCAATAGACCTTGAAGAAATCCATTGGTTCTTTGTAACTTTGTGGTTTAAATCGCTAATAGATGTCACATCTGGTTCAGCCTCGTTTTCAGAACTACCTATGTGTGACCTCAGTTGTTCCTGAGACCTACTTTTGGTTTTCTCGTTACTCAGTTCAGTTCTAATGGATCTTTTTAATGTGGCTTTTTTGCGTCCAGTGAGGCGCAAGCAGATGCGTGCCCGTATTAGGGCATGGTCAGAGTCCAAGCAGGTACTCCAGAATCATCGACAATCTTCTATCGAACCTCTCCAACGATGACTGATGGCAATATGGTCTATTTGAGTCCATCGTTGGTTTGGTGTAGGGGGTCGCCATGTTAGACGATGTCTCTTCTTATGCTTAAAATTTGTGTTTGCTAAAAATAAGCGATTGTCTGAGCACAGTTGCAGCAGACGATCACCATTATCTGTTCGTTGTGCCGGAATACTAAAATACCCACCTAAATGCCTTTCTGTTTGGTTTAAACTACCTATCTGGGCATTAAAGTCACCTGCTATGAGTTCTATGTCTGAACGTTTAGCTTTCTGAAGAAGTTCGGACAGCTTTCTGTAAAATTCATCTTTCACTTCATCTGAGCTGCAGTCGGTGGGAACGTAGGCAGAAACGACAAAAAGGCAATGACGTGTGTCCCTATCCTTCCGAGTTCTTACAGAGCCGTTTAGCCGAACAACACATAAACGACTGTTAACGGGGATCCACTCCAATAGTGCTTGTTCTGCCCTCATGCTTAGTGCTATCCCTACTCCAGCCAGTCCACGAGGGCTGGCCGTCGAGTCACCAGATGCACGGAGGGTGTATCTCGTTGGCTCTCCGTCTTACCGAGGTGAGGTCAAGTGAATGACCACACTGGGATCCTGTATGCGTGTTTCGGAGACAGCATACATCAATGGTACGAGATTCTAGGGTTCCAGCCAAGGAAGCCTGTTGACCGATTTGACATAGGGTGCGTACGTTGAAGGCTCAAATGTGTAGTTTGGAGCGAGGTTTCAGTAGACCTGGGACAGTATTTTTGAGCACTAGAATCGCTGGCTATGGTGACGCTTGAGGAGGAAGCCGAAAGAGGAAGTTTGGTGTTGAAAGTCGATGTGGGAGGAATAATAGGAATTGAAGCTGGAAGTTGATTATGAATACAGTGGTCTTGAGTACTGTTAGAGGTATGAGGGCGGTTATCACTCCCCGGTCGCCCACTTCGTGGAAGGGTTCCTCTGGAAGTACCTGAAAAGGAAATTAGATTAGGGGTGGTCTTAGTGACCTGAGAGCATGACCGCAGTGCCCAAGGGACAACTGCTTGAGGTCGGTCACACACGACCTTTTCATGGGTAATTTTTGTGTTAGCTCCGTACTTGTTGAGACCTTACCGCCGGAGACGGATATCCGTGGGATGAGGTGAGGTGTTCATTTTTAGGGTCGACCTTTTCTAACCCCACCCCTCCTTGTGGAAAGGTAGCATCTCTGTCATGCTGGTTGTCTGAAGGAAACACCTTACTGTTGTCACACCTCTGTACTGTCAACAGTACGACTTCGCCTTCGGACCTTGGGTTTGTTGCTTTTAGTCTTACCGCTCTTCAACCGACCTGTCTGACATGGTAGGACTTTGAGGAACGGTTGTTTCAGCCAGTATAGCTCGGTTGCTTCATCACGATAGGCAAGCCCGACCACCACGTCAAGGTAGCAACAACGGTCGGGCTCATTGACTACAATAATTGACTGTCCGATAATTTCCTCACTAAACTCTGTGTGTATTTATATGTGTGTAATTTTATAGCAATTGTATCCATGAATTTGTGAAAATTCTATCATTTTTTTCGAAATTCCAGGACTTTACTCCGCCAACTGGTCGTTATGATCTAATATGGATTCAGTGGGTATTAGGCCATTTATCAGATTTAGCTTTGTTAGCCTTTTTAAAACGTTGTGCTCATGGACTTTCTCCAGGCGGTGTAATTGTAATTAAAGAAAATATCACTTCACCTGGTGGACACGATGAAAAATCAATCATGAATTCAGAAGAAATCGATTTCGATGAGATCGATAGTAGCTATACAAGATCACGATCAACTTATATAAGAGCTTTTATGGATACTGGTTTAACATTAATTGGTGAACGTGCTCAAACAAATTTCCCGTCATCATTTTATCCAGTAAGGATGTTTGCATTATCATATAACGGTGATCCGAAAGCATCTCCTACAAAATCTTTGCCTAAACCACTACCAACTGTAAGTGCTTAATTTCTCTGTTTTGTTTTCTTTTTTTTAAAATATTGTCTCACTACTATCGTTACTGATGTATATGTGTCTGCCTGTGTACATTCGATTGTTTTCCGTAAAATCTACATTTACACTTGTCTTTACCCTCATCCTCTCTCTCCTTCTGTGTGTCTTCATTACTACATTCTGGCGTTTTCTTGTTTAAATTAAAAATTTATTATCTATTTGGTCAAGTATATCCTTCATGTTACAAGTACGACAGGAGTGTGTACTAATCTGTGAATGTAAACAAAAAAAAAGAAAAAAACGATATTATTTTTTTATTTTATAGTAATTATCTCTTCAAATAAAATTCATTTGGATTTGTGCGCCCACAACTACACGCACACAGACACACATACATACACTCTTTGTGTATATGTATAATTGAAATATGAATAGTCCTATTTTCTTTTGTTTTACTGCTGTTCTACTGTTGTTTTTTTGTACTTATCCATGTATTTCACTTTGAGATGAAATGGTCTTTTTTATAAAATTTTTTTTTGCTATTGACAATTGAAATTCCTTTGAGATTATTTTTTGTTGAAAATTAACTTTTTTTTATACATATATATATACATACATGTATACTACATTTTACTATGAAGTAATCATTGGTTTCACCTATTACATACAACGAAAATCATATGAGATTTGTTAACTATTTAATAACAGACTTTTTTTCCCCTCAGCATTTTGTTATTATATTACCATTGGGGTATATCATCGTCGGGTATATATGATGTTCCCTGTGTAATTAATTGTGATGTATGTTAGCAGTATGACTTCACCTTCGGACCTTGGGTTTGTTGCTTTTAGTCTTTTAGTCGGTTAATAGAAGTGTAAAGTAATAAATTATTCATGCATGAAAAGAAACATAATTTTGGCGAGATTATAATTTATGGATGAATCAATTAGGTATAAGATAACAGGTCTCGGATTTCGGCGCGAAATTCACCCATCCATTTGGTTAAATAGAGTTTTGGCATTATAGCTGATATCAGTTCGTGATGAAAACCCTAAATCTGATTCCTAATACTAACCATCAACTGTAAATCATAATTCTAATTCCTCACATTGGTTTATAACCCTCATTTGGTCCTAGTTATCAGGTGAGGACCCTCAAGGTCAGTTTAACGTCACCATAATGTTTTTACAACAAGAGTGCAATGGATAAATTGAAGGTGTGAGGTTCGATAAATGCGATGTATCAAGCATTTTCGGTTATTTTTCTGTCTATTTAGTGAGTAAATATTGTATAGGAATTTGATTTTCTTTGAGGGTTTCATTTCAAGAATATGACGTTGTCTTTGTTTGTTGTGAAGTCATCAGCGTAGTGCTTGATAGGCCATACCGGATGAAAAACACAACTAAAGTGAAAGCTTAAGGTTGAAATGAAATTTCCAATGAAAATTGCACACTCAGTAAATGGACAGAGCACTGTTTGATACCACACTTTTCTTAAACATTTAAAGACAGATGGTTAACCTTACACTTTAAATGTCACGTTTAGGTCATAAATAATTTTATATGTAATTTACGAGATCGTATGTTATAATCTAGTTTATATAACACTGTGGACAGTTTGTTTAGTGTAAGTTGTGATGTGTGTTATGTTCTTATGCCCTGGTAATTATTACTTGACAAAATTGTCAGTCATGACACTGACTTAAACGACATTGGCACTGTACCAAATCAATGACGCGTTAACCAGCACGAACAGCCTAGAGTGAACTCACCTTATTGGTTCTTCTTGCCAAGCCCTGCTCGTTTGAGTCCAGAACACAGTCTCAGATTCCACTGCATAAATCATGTTTTAAGACGTATGTAGTTTATATACAAGCAAATCAGACTGCATCGTATCATAAAATAGAAAGTACCATTTATACAAGATCAGGCCAAAATTGAGTGTGAGATAATGTAAATAATAGATTGGGAATAACTTAAGAATAGTAGGTTGTATAATGATAGTCAATATGTCAGATGAAAGCTTATCATAAGATAAATATAAATATATATAATAGTCATTCAGTAGGAATACATGTAATAATAGTCCATAAATAATTCCTAGCAGTTGCCGTTCATTTATTTTGTTAATATATAAAAATGTGATACATGCATTACTATATTACTATCAAACCAGTGATTAAAAACTTAACTTTATGACAATGTGTATTGTATATTCAAATTCACCGAGTCTTCAACTAAGTATCACTAGTTATTCCATAAATAATCTGATTCGAAACTGATTGTATAAGTCTACACTCTAATATTGAGTTTAATCAAATTGTTCACATAGATATTGACAAAAGCCTCAAATGCTTCAACTATTAAAACATTCATAAACTGTCTGCTTACATGAAAAGGAAAACTGATAGTCTACTTTATTAACTATGATCACTATAAAATATATTGATCAAGGTGATTATTTTTCGTTCTTAATTGTACATCATTATTTCATTAATTTCAGTTCATATTCTCCTAGTATATTGTAACATTTAACTAGATTAGTTTATAATCTTGAAAGGATCAAACAATCAACAAGGTTTAATGTCACAACAGTTTATTCTGTCTATATTCACCGTTAATTATCATGTATAATCTTAGAAGATTGGAATAACTTTCTTTGACAAAAATAGTTAAGTTATTCGCAACAGTATTCAACATTTCATGTTCTGATTGGACATTGAATTTCAATAGAATATAAGTAATTATTTAGTATCAAAAATCTGCCAACTGAAATCAGTGTATCATATATAATGTATTCATTTTACAAATTAATAATACTTGATCGTTTCATGAAAGTATTAAAATAAATGGTGTTTTTAGTTGAGTTTATCATTCATAATTCAATTCTGATAGTTTTATAAGATTATTAAAATTTGTTTTGATATATCTGTTATAAGGGGCCGCCAAACCAAAACGTATCATCAGTCCTTGAATTCACTAAATTCTAGTCTTAGCCATGTTGGTAGATACACTCTACTTGGTTGGGGTCCGCGTGACTATCGTAACCAATGGTTGGAGAGTCTTGGTGACATGGTTCAGAATCGATCACAATGGCGTAGATGTATACACTCTTTGTCTTCCCTTAAACCGTGATATTAAAATCGCTTCATATCTTTCTTTCTATGAACTAATTCTTTCTTCCTGTACTATGTGTCCTTATATGCAATCTTTCTTTTATATATTATTACCATTGAAGCGACTATTTCTATGAATTTGTTGATCATCTTGTTATGCTAATGCAGTGTGGCAACTTGTAGCGATGCATATATGTGCCTGGTCCTACATTGTAGTTGACTGACTGAATATTTATTTGTATATGAGAAATTTCAGTTTGGAATCTTTTGTTTATTTACTAATTAGGTTTTGCTAAACATTATCAAAGTGATTGTTTATTAAAAATACCATGTAAAAATGTACCTGTTTTGTGACTTGTAATCATTAATCCATTTCATTCATCTTTCACAATAATGTGATCGAGAGAAATTTTCATCTATTATGTAATAAGTGATGTTTATGTTTCTAGAAGAAGAAGAAGAAGTTGTTTATTACAACCTATTGGTTGAATAATTTACAATGATGGAATGATTTTGTTTTGAGAAATAGATAATGTTTCATTATTTATATTACTATTCAGTGTACATTACTTGTTTGTTGATATGATTGAGATTTTTATAACTCCTGGATCTATTGATTAAGATAAATAATCTACAGAAAACTTCATCATTCAGTTTTTAAATCTGTATGGATCAATTTTGGATTTCACACGCACACACACACACGAAACCTGATAAGTCCTGCGGATTGGACGCTCTATTCGTCTCACAAGCTATTCTGTAATCCCCAAGCTAGAACTATACAGCGACCTGAACACGAGAGAGAAGACTCAAAGTATGCGAGAAGTAGTTTACTCCACGGTTCATTTTATTACAAAAAATACAGGGTTTTTATAATATTTCAAATGTCCTTGGGTCACTATAGGATTCTGGAATGCTACTAAACATAGTAGCAGTGTAGCAGCCAACCGATCAGAGCCTCTGCATGTGACGTTTCGCTTCCTTGATATTTTTGGCCAAGACTCCAAGTGAACGCTGATTGGATGAAACGCTTCTCAGTGTTTCCTGATGCTTGTCTTTTGCAAGCAATTTTCTGGATCACCCCAACAAAACCATACTTGTTTGATTACTGAGTATGATTAAAAAGGGCTTACAAAATATCTAATTATTGTTATACCAATAATATTGATACTGAAGTTTCACATTACAGATTGGTTTTGGATAGTAAACTATCTAGAACCTGCAAGTAATGTAAGGTCATTTCATTCTAATATATGAGACTCAGCGTTGTGCATCAATGACTATAACAGAAATTGAACCCTGGTTTCGGAATATCTGTACAACGCTTCCTAGTTTCCAATGGTCATTTATACAATGTTAATCTGTAATGCGAAACTTCAAATTCAGCAGTCTCCGCAACACCGTGTAATAATGTTAATATCAGATTGTTATTTCGTTTAGGAAGTATATAACTACCTAACATCTCAATTTCTTTTTACTAGGGCTTTTTGGGAGATTGTAGAATTTACATTGTTTGGTGTACGGACTGATGTCATGTAGAGAACCACTGAAAACCAGAAGGCACTGAATAGCTGTTTTGTCTTAGTGCACAACTTCTCAACAGTGGACATCCATAAACCTGATACAGGTAATCGAATTCAGACTACTTAGCGGAGACCCGCCGGTGTATGTAGAGTTCTAGTGAGGTGTTCCCATTAAAATCAATCATCTAAGTGTGAAACAGTTAATAACCTCAGGTGATTGAAGATTGTCGCATAATATCCTAAATTTATTGATGTTGGATATGTATGCTGTTTGAATTCAGCTGTGAATGCTGTTTTTGCGCACCATACATAAGGTCCCCAGTTTAAATTCTTTGGGCATAATCATGGATGTACAATACTAAGGAGTCTCATATTAAAGTGAAACAGATGTTTAATTCATCCCGGTTTTTCGATAGTTCTCTAACTTGGATCAATTCGTGATTCATACTATGAATGTGCCTTTAGATGACAAAAAGCTACAAATAGAAAATAGTAATAAGTTCATACTTCGTTGGATTTAATTTAATAATACTTTCTAAGAAACCTTCAAGTTTTGAGTTTGATTCTAAGCATGTCCGTGGAATCAATTGATTGTTCATAACTTAGTTTTGAATAACATCCTAGCTGATATCAATCTATGACGAAAACAACCTATAAATTAAACTATTCTATATGAAACGTCTCATCAAAATCATACATAATAATTTTACAATTAATTAAATTATAAGTGAGATAAATGGGATGATAAGAATTAAGTTAAATAAAATAATGTTCAACCTTTGTCAGGTTCATTTCTATCCATAAAGGTACATTGTGTACCGAGAAGCATTTAGTATGACATAAAGTTAACTAACTCAGCATGCGCATAGAGTATACTTAAATTTAATAATGAAATCAATTATTAACAATTAATCATTAAAACAACCATCAGAATAAGATAAATTGAACACTGAGACTAGAATTTAATGAAAGTTCGTTTTGTTTTACTTTACGACTGCGAAACGTGACCATTAAGAGTGGAAGATACTCGTAAGCTACTAGTATTTGACCACAGATGTCTTAGAAATATTGCTCGCAACTGCTGGGATCATCGGACAAGTAATAGTGAGGTTAAACGCAGGGTATTAGTGAATGATGGTAAATCAGTTGATGAGGTTGTGAATCTTCATCGACTGAGATGGTTGGGCCACGTATTACGTATGTATGAACACCGATTACCACGACATGCAATGCTAACTGATGTTAGGGATGGTTGGAAGGAAGTTAGGGACAGATAAACCAAAACATGGTATCAGTCTATAAAGTCACTAACTTCTAGTCTAAGCTATGTTGGTAGATGTAGACTACTTGGTTGGGATATGCGCGACTATCCTAACCAACAGTTGGAAACTCTGTGTGATGTGGCTCAGAATCGATCACAATGGCGTAGGTGTATACACTCTTTGTCTTCCCTTAAACCGTGATATTAAAATCGCTTCATATCTTTCTTTCTATGAACTAATTCTTTCTTCCTGTACTATGTATCCTTATATGTAATCTTTCTTTTATATATTACACCCATTGAAGTAACAACGTCTATGAATCCGGTGTCCATTTTGCTGTGCTAATGCGGTATGGAAATTTGTAACGATGCATATATGTGCTTGGTCCTACGTTGTGACTGACTGACTGAATGCTTTTTTAAGAAAAAGTTTTTTCTAGTAATTTTATTCAATTACTATTATTATCAGTTTGTTAATTTTCCTTACTGGCCACCAAATGCCGTGGTACTGCCGAGAGTGGGGAGAGTTAACCCTCCCTTTCCAAATGCTCTCATATGGCCACGTGCATACATCTACTGCCACAGAAATCCTACTCACTGCCTTCTTGCAGCATTACTGAAGTTTACGAGATTGAGAGGACGAAAAGTGTATGTTCGGCACTCTAACCGGGTTAGTGGACATCGACAGTCCACTTAGGGGATTTGGAAAATCCTGATTCCAAACCAGTGGTGCACATGGGATCCAGGATCCTGAAGAAACAAATGGCGTTGGATCCAACTGTTGGTCACCGGCTACTATTGGATTGCATCTCCTGTAGTTGGTCCACTGCCTTGTGGATTAGACCATTAGGTCGAAGGCTCGGCATGTGCCCTTTTAAGAAAACTATCTTCGGTTTGGGAGTTTTGGCAGTATATCAGACCTCACACAAATCGAATGATTTATGTGGCGCATAACTATTCGGTGCCTCGTTGTACCAATGTTTATGTGTTAAAATAAATAAAATTTCTTTACTGATTATGCAATCTGTTATTATTATTGCTACACTTGAATCTTTCACTTGTGTAGAAAAAAAAGAAAGAAATTTTAGTGTAACATCTCTTTTATAGAAGTCATATAATTAAATAATCAGCGATTTACTACATTAGGTTGCTATTCCACCGACTATTTTAATAAAATAATATTTATTTAATCTAGCTTAGATGAAATGTGTACAAGCGAAACTGTGATTCCGATACTCAATGTAAATGCAAATTAGTGTTTTTTTAAGCTAACCTTCGTGGTGTCTTATAGGATTATCTAATACATATGGTTGGATCAAAAAGCAACCGGTTCTACTTTCAGTGCTGACATTAATATTGGGAATCATCTGAAATATTACAAAAATTAGTTTCTGAGCTTAAATACTAACTACCATCGGACACTGTAAAATTGGTTGTGACTTATTAATAATTCGCTCAGCGTCCACAATCAATCTCAGGTCTTAAAATTAACAACGGAAAAATTTAAACTCCCACAAATGAAGTTTAGAATGGTTTAGTTGTCATTCTTTTACACGATAGTGATATCTTTTTGTGATTAATCAATATCAAGTGAAATATTTTATCCTCTGCAAACGAAAGTAGACAAAGATGCGTATTATTCAATCATCTAGTTAGTAAATACAGGAAATATTGTTTCAGTGAAGGTTTTCCTTTACGGTGAATTTCAAGATAACTCTTCACTGAACCATTTTTCCTAGGGCTCAACGGATGTATTTCATTTATACGTAGTTCGTCACTGTAGTTACTATCAGATGGGTTTTGTGGAGATTGTAGTAATTTAAGTGGTTAAGATCATGATTCAGTTGAAGCTAGACCACCATGGAAAACCTGGAAGCACTGGACGGCCATTTCGTCCCATTATGGGACTCCTCAGCAGTGCGCATACACGACCTTGCCCCCTGAGGCATTCGAACCCAGGACCTACTGGTTTCGCGCGCGAGCACTTAATCATTAGGCCACTGAGCCGGCATCCAACGGCTATTTACTATTTGAAAATAATAGCTTGGTTTCTATTTTCATTTAGTGATAACTGCTTGTAGAGATGCATGGGTTATATGGCATTTACGCCGGTCTATTGCATCTATTGTTTGCTTTTGATTATGGCACACCCCTAATAAATCTCTTCTAGAGCTATATTAGCCTAATCGACATGCTACCATACATTTCTGATAGTGAGTTGACAACCTAATCAGACTGCATCAATCCATGTCAATAAGTTGACACTAAAACAGAGCATATCACAAATGTACAACAATCGAAAGAAGAATTCACATTAAACAGACCGACATGATATTTGTAGATCCAAAATACTACAATTGATGTTAAGATCCCGATTTCATAATCCCTTCCCAACTCACAAAATTACTTTCCTCTTGAATCTGGAAAAGAATATAGAAGGTGGGATATTCAGGAAAAGTC